ATATTATCAAAGGAAACCTAAATCTGACTTTTAATTTATAAAAATTATTATTTTTAATATGTGAATTTCTTTATAATGAAACTGTGCATTTTATATGTGAATATTACATAAATTTATCATATCGTAATTTTGCACAGTGTATAGAAGAGCTCTTCAGACTTGGGATTTGGTCATGCTCCAACCCTATATCCTATTTGTTAGTATTCTTTTGGAAAAGTGATAGTTTTTTAGTACATAAAAACAGTAGTGACTACTTTTTATAAGAACTCACTCAATTCTGTTAATCAAATTAAGCACTCTTTTACACTATTTTATTTTACTATTATAAAAACCTTATAGTTTAATTATGTATTTATTTTCAAAACAAAAATTTAAGGCCCATTGGGTGTAAGGAATGTGTCTAACATCATGGAATTTGCAGCTACTAGAATACAAAATAGAAAGGTCTCCATTTGAGGCATGGGACTACACACTTACCTCAATTCCTTCTGCTTGATTTGTGGATGACCTGGAATCTTCTGAGGGAGTTCTTTATTAATCTTTATGAAAGGACAGAAGTTTCTGTGTTCTCTTGGTTAAACTAACATTCTTATATATGTATTTTCTTGTATTTAAGCAAATATTTTAATAAATTTTCTCCACTTCTCTGCAATGATATTTATTTGCTAGCAAAACTGATATTAGGAAACACATCAACCCAGAGTGAATATGACCAGTAGTTTTCATAAATTAACTAATTTATCAATTATTAATATATGAAACTTGCTCAGTCGTGTCCAACTGGTTGACCCCATGAAATGGTCTAATCCAGAATACTGGAGTGGGTAGCATTTCCCTTCCCCAAGGGGTCTTCCCAACCTAGGAATCGAACCCAGGTTTCCCTCATTGCAGGCAGACTCTTTACCAGCAGAGCCACAAGGGAATCCCAAGTTCAGGGGTGCTCACAAGTGTATGGAACACAGGCAAAGCCTGATCCAGAACTCCCATATTTATTTTTATAGGTTGATATGCCTCCAAATAGGGCTTCCCCGATAGCCAGTTGATAAGGAATCTGCCTGCAATGCAGGAGACCCCGTTTCTACTCTTGGGTTAGGGAGATCCCCTGGAGAAAGGATAGGCTACCCACTTCAGTATTCTTGAGATTCGCTGACCCAGGAATCGAACTGTGGTCTCCTGCATTGCAAGCAGGTTCTTTACCAACTGAGCTATCAAGGAAGAATACTTTGGGGTTCAGCTGGTAAAAAATCTGCCTGCAGTGCAGGTAGACCAGGGTTTGATCCCTGGGTTGGGAAGATCCCCTGGAGACAGTATTCTGGCCTGGAGAATTTTGAGGACTATATAGTCCATGTGTCCCAAAGAGTTGGACTTTTATTTTTTTGCTTTAATATAAGAAAAATAACCATGTAATCCAGCACATAAATTTGAGAGTCTATTATTTTATTTTGTTGTTTACTCAAAGTATCTGTCTTCTCACTATCAAGATGACAACTGGAACAACAACAACAAAAAAATAACAGATGTAATTTAGCATGGGAACTTAATTTCCTGAAGGTGGATTCTGAATGTATGTTACTTTCTTTGCAACATGGTTTCTCCCCTTGAGTCTCCATGGAAAAAATAATTTAGTCAAACTCTTTTAAGTGTGGAATTCTAAAATATTAATGTCTACTTCATTTAGTTATTGTGACATTTTATGAGAATGCCTATCAAGATGTTAGCATAGTACTTGAAATAATTTCTGTAATTATTATCCATATATGTCTGAGTTATCGCAACTGTAGCATGCTGATGCGGAATCAGAGTCGCTTCAGCTTTAAAATATATGGGCAAATTGAAGAGAAATGCTATACAAGAGTCAGAACAATTTATTTGACAAAAAACATGCAACATAGAGCATCACAGATAGCCAAGCAGGGAAAAACTGCTAATTCTAGGGAGACCACATTAAAATGGAGACAGAAATGAAACAATGGATCGAAAAGGATTTTTGGATTTTGTGAAACCGGAAAATAAGTTAACAAGTGGTTTTATACTGCATTCAATGTGCAGAACAATAACATAGATGTCTATATATTCTATTGACTCTGAAATCTATCCTATTCTTTGAACTTTGTCAAATTACACGAAAGAACATATAATAATATTTCACCTTTTTATCCTAGTGCTTCAAAATTTTTAAGAAAGAAATACATTATTTCATGTCTGATAAGTTCCATGACACATTAAAACTCTTACAGTAAAAAAATAAGATGGAAATGACAACCCACTCTGGTATTCTTGCTTGGAAAATCCCATGGACAGAGGAGCCTGGTGGGCTACAGTCCATGAGTTCACAGAGTTGGACACAACTTAGTGATTGAGCACACAAACACATAAGAAAGTGTTTCACAATTAGTAATAACTTAAGAACCTATAGTCTTAGAATGACTAAACTTTCTATGATCATGTATCTTTGTTCTGTGTTCAAAGAGTTCATGGCTGATTCATGTCAATGTATGACAAAAACCACTCCAGTATTGTAAAGTAATTAGCTTCCAACTAATAAAAAAATAAATGGGGGGAAAAAAGAGTTCATAAATAGTGGATGGAATATAGAGTCCAACCCATAAAGATATTGTAAATACTATATCACCTAAACTGTTTCTAACTTAAAAAATGAGTTAAATTATACGCTAGTTCTCAGTTTCTGATTTTACTTACAAATTGGTGGGAAACATCTATCTATGGCTGATATTAATAGCAGCAATGTATTATTAAGGCTAATTTTTATAGTTATTTTATTGTGCCACACAGTTTATAATGAACTTATATATATTTGTTCTCCTAATTATCAAATAATCCTAAAAGAAATAGATAATAATTTTCATATCATTTTTTTCACATAATGAAACTATTTTAACAGATGTCTATTTAAATTACTAAAATTCATTCAACTACTCATCAGTGACATAGATGTTCAAACTCAAAAATCCTACTTCTCAACTCATTACTTCTGGATCATAAAATTAAAGAGAAACATTCTATTGAATCATTCTATTGGATTAGGAAGACAAAGGCTGCTATCAGTTCTCTAATTTTTAATGTGTATTATTAGTGAGCAACATGGCTTTCTGAATTTTAGATTTCCTTCTGCTTAAATGTGAAACGTGGTATTTTACGTAAGTTTTTATTTGGAAATATAAGACTGAATTAAATGTTTTGAGGTTATCATAATGAATTGTTTAAAAGCTATTAGTTTAAAATAGTTTCTTCTTCAATTGTAAATCCATGTAGGACTTTCAAAATCATATTTAAAGTAACTCATCATATGAAAAATATGTCGAGAAGCTTGTCTTAAGCATGATTAGTTGATTAGTTGATAATTTTCAATTTGAAAAGAGAGCAGAAAGTGAACCCCATCAGAGCAAATGAAAATAGTGCTGGAAGACAGTCTAGCAACCTATGAATTTCCTGAATCAGAAGTCAGGAAACTAACTCAATAAGGGTGCTGGTAACCTGAGGTCACAAAGAGTTGGATATGACTGAAGTGACTAAGCATGCAGCTCCTACTTAAATATCACAAATATTTCCTAAGTGAATTTTGACATGATTTTGGATTTTTTTCATGTTATTTAAGTATTCTGTAATTCAGTCTCTATCCCTTATTTGCACTGAATCTGGCTTGGATTAATTGGAGGCATTTTATATTGAGCTACATGTTATTCAGCAACTCCCTAAAGGTAGAGCCTTATCAATTCACACCATGTAATAAAAAATGAACTTTAAAAAGAACATTTCATAGGGATAATATATTTGATAAGCATAGATCAGACTGAAAAATAATACCAAACTCATTCTGAACATATACTCAAACAGTTTGCATATCAATAATGAGTAGTTTTATACCAATAACATTCAGACAGTTAAGGGCTGAGACAATCTACAAATGTAATCTAGCCCATTAATGTTAAATAAATAACATATAATATCTCAAATATACATAACACATAAACTTTAGTTCAAAATGATGTAACAAAAATTGTTAATAAGTTTATATAACCTGAGGAAGATATGTACCATATAAGCATCAAATCAGAACAGTGTACATAAAATATAGATAAGAAATTATTTAAATCTATAAAGAAAATTCAGACAACTCAATATTAATCATGGAAAAGATATATTCACAGAAAATTTGCAAAAGTAATCTGATAGATTAATGAACAGTTCTGGCTCATTCATTACCAAGGAATTGGTAAATTAAAACAAGCTTTTTTTTTTTACTTTTCTATTATTGGCCATAATTATTGCACATAACAATATCTAATAGTACCACATATGGAGGGATTTAAACAAAAATCAACAGTTGAAAGGAGTGAACAAGTTAGAGATTCAGTTACTCAGATACTCCATACTGACAAAATATACAAAAATAATAGAAATGTAATTGATATTATTATGTATGCATGTATAATTTATTTGGATAAAAAATAATGTGTAATTACAAAGATATGGAGGATAGGATGCCAAGCCAAACATCTTCTGGTGCAGTGAAAGAATTTAAGTCATAATTTTTCCTCCAAGTCTCATTTTTTTTCTGTGCCATTGATCAGGTTTCAAAAGGAAATGCTCAAGCTTTCTTTTAAGCAAGTATCATTTCCTAATTATTCATTGTCTTCTAGGAATAACTGAAGCCATGGAAAATACAAATGACACCACGGGAATAAACTTCATTCTTTTAGGGCTCCTTAACTACACACAAACCCATATATTCTTCTTTGCTGTGGTGCTCATGACCTTCCTCACCTCCCTGATAAGCAATATCTTCATGATCATGCTCATTCACATGGATTCCCGGCTGTGCACGCCGATGTACTTCCTGCTTAGTCAGCTCTCCCTCATGGACGTGATACTGGTCCTCACTGTTGTTCCCAAAATGGTAAGCAACTACCTGATGCACATCAGGTCTATCTCTCCTGCTGGCTGTGGTGTCCAGATCTTCCTGTTTGTCACTCTGGAAGGGAGCGAGTGCTTTCTCTTAGCGGCCATGGCCTATGACCGCTATGTGGCTGTATGTCACCCCTTGAGATACCCGATCCTCATGAATCAGAAGCTCTGCTTGCACATGACAGCCGGCTCCTGGCTTTTGGGAGGGGTGGATGGGCTGATGCAGTCTGGTGTCACCCTGAGCTTCCCTTACTGCCACCCTCGAGAAATCAACCACTTCTTCTGTGAGGCACCATCGCTTGTTCGCCTTGCCTGTACAGACACCATGATTTTCGAATTTTTCATGTATGTCTGCTGCGTCCTGATGCTTTTGATCCCAGTGTCTTTCATTTTGGCTTCCTACGGTCTCATCCTGATCACTGTGCTCCGCATGCATTCTGCTGCAGCCAGGAAGAAAACCTTTGCTACTTGTTCTTCCCACCTGGCTGTGGTGGGGGTTTTCTATGGCACCATCATATTTATCTACATGCGGCCCAAATCCTACCGTTCAGTGGCTCATGACAAGGTGGTCTCTGCCTTTTACACCATCTTCACACCTGTGTTGAACCCACTTATATACAGTGTGAGGAATAAAGAAGTCAAGGGGGCTTTGAGAAAGTGGCTGGAGAAACATTTTCAATGATCTCTACAGCGAGCATTGTTGGCATAATGACATCACTCAAATTAGATTTACGTTTTGTTTTGTGTCAGTTTGTTTTGGGTCAATATATTTTGCTTTCGTGTTCCCAGTGTGTATTAATTTAAAAAACATTATATAATTCATATTTGGTAAATTAATTAAAATGACATTTGTTCTGTGTTCATTCTTTTTCATGATATTTTTTTCTGAACTTTGAACCTCAATGATAAGAATAAATGACTGAGGCATACCATCATAAGATATGCTGGACACCAGCCATGTAATTTGTATTTTGGGGTGTATTCTTTTGTGTGTATATAATGAAAATCATTAATTATGGTAGAGATGAATTATTTTTAAAGTAATGAATTGTTTAGAAAAAAACAATTTATACCTTACTTCATATAATTTTGATAAAATAAATTTCAAATGAATAATCAATATTAATATGAAATATGCACATATATGTATGTATATATGAAAGTTGCAGGAAATATTCATCAAAATGTGTTCAAGGGAATTATTTCTCACGATTATATGATCAAAATATCTTTAGATAAACAGATTGGAATCCATACATTTAGATATTGTCAAAATATGCAGTAATCATGGAGAAGCCAACGTCTTTATCTGAAGACAAAAAAAGCACTATTAAAATATATGTATGTGATCAAATTCATCACATAAATTAATATTGATAATAGACATTGGTTGTGCACAGTTGTAATTGGAGCAAAAAAATTCAAGTATCTTTCTTCACATGATAAAGTGAAGAAAAATCTACTTTTTATGAACTGTTTTACAGATTTAAGAAAATCATATTTGATCACAAGAAAAAACCTTAGGACTTAAGATTTTACCTCTTTTGAATAATTGAAGGGAGGAAGGAAAGAAAAAAGGAAGAAATGTGGGAGAGAGGGGAGAAGGTAGGAAAGAAGTAAAGATTTATATTGTACATATTTTGATTTGAACAGATTATCACTTTAGAAGTGAAGACTCAAAAGAGTCTCTTCCCAAAAATTCTTAAATATGAATTTTACTAACTTATTTTTATTGAAATATAGTTGATTTACAACCTTATATTAGTTTCAAATATTCAGCATAAGTGACTCAGTATTTTTGCAGACTCTACTCCATTAAAAATTCCTAGAAGATAATGGCTGTATTTCCTTTGCTATACTGTATACCTTTGTTGTTTATCTATTCTATACATAGTAGTCTGTATCTCTTAATTCCATACAACTATATTGCCACTCCCACGTTCTCTGTCCTCACTGGTAACCACTAGTTTATTTTCTTTATTTGTTGAGTCTGTTTCTGCTTTGCTATGTACATTCATTTGAATTATTTTTTAAAGTTCATATATGAGATATCATATAGCATGTCTTTCTTTGTCTGACTTAATTCACTTAGCATAATGCCCTACAAATTCATCCATGTTGCTGTGAATGGTAGGATTTCATCATTTTTTATGGCTGAGTAATATTTCATCACACATACATACCACAATTTAATCCATTTGTCTGTTGATGGATACTTGGGTTGCTTCCACATCTTGACTATTGTAAATAGTACTGCTATGAACATTGGGTTTGTTTATTTGTTTGAATTAGTGTTTTAATTTTTGAGGAGTATATAACCAGGAGTGGAATTGCTGCATCAGTTTTTTGAGGAACTTCTATGCTGTTTTCCAAAATGGCTATTCCAATTTGCATCCTCACCAATGGTGTACAAGTGTTTACTTTTTTTCACTTTCTTGCCAACATTGGTCATTTGTAGATATTTTTGTGAGAGATGCTCTGACAAGTGTGAGGTGATACCTTATCATTGTGCTGATTTACATTCTTCTAATAATTAATGATGTTGAGCAACTTTATTGTGCCTGTTAGCTATCTGTATGTTTTTCTTAGAAAACTAAATTCCTCTGCACATTTTTTGATTGGGGTACTTTATATATATATAATATATATATTATATATATTAAGCAACTTGCATGTTTTAGATATTAAATTTTGTTGGTCATATCTTTTGAAAATATCTTTTCCCCTTTCTGTAAGTTATCCTTTCATTTGGTAGATTTTTGTTTTGCTATGGAAAACCTTTTAAATATAGTTAGGTTTTATTTGTTATTTTTTTTTTTGCTAGGACTTTCCAGGTGGTTCAATGGTAAAGAATAAGTTTTCAATGCAGGAGACTTGGGTTCAATTCCAGGTTCAGGAATATCCCCTGGAGAAGGAAATGGCAACCTACCCCAGTATTCTTGCCTAGGAAATCACATGGACAGAGGAACTGGATGAGCTACAGTATATGGAGTTGCAAAAGAGTCCAATATGATTTAGCAACTCAACAGCTAGGAGATAGTTCAAAAAATATTGCTACCATATATTTAAAAGATTTTTCCTCTTATGTTTTCTTCTAGAAGTATTATGTTTTTAGTTCTTACATCTAGGTATTTAACCTATTTTCAATTTATTTTGGTATATAGTGTGAGGAAATGTTCTAGTCTGATTGTTTTAGGTGTAACTGTCCAGTTTTCTCAGCAACACTTAATAAAAAAAAAAAAAGCAAACAACTGTCTTTTCTTGAATTTTAGCATCTTCTAAGTGATCTACCAAATCTCTTTCATTTAATTATCCCACATTAACTCAAAACACCACATCTATAGGTATTCAAGAGCAAACAAAAGAGAGGAAAAAAAGCTCTTCCATAGCCTCAATAATTATGACTTTCTTCTAATAGAATGTCAGATATTTGAAGCTGAAAAGCTAAAATAAAATTTTACATTCAATCATCATTATCTCTACTGAATTTAATAAATTAAATAGGAATAAAACTAGAAAAAGGAGTATGTCAATGCTGTATATTGTCACCCTGCTTATTTAACTTATATGCAGAGTACATCATGAGAAACACTGGGCTGGAAGAAGCACAAGCTGGAATCAAGATTGCCAGGAGAAATATAAATAACCTCAGATATGCAGATGACACCACCGTTATGGCAGAAAGTGAAGAGGAACTAAAACGCCTCTTGATGAAAGTGAAAGAGGAGAGTGAAAAAGTGGACTTAAAGCTCAACATTCAGAAAACTAAGATCATGGCATCCAGTCCCATCACTTCATGGGAAATAGATGGGGAAACAGTGGAAACAGTGTCAGATTTTATTTTTGGGCTCCAAAATCACTGCAGATGGTGACTGCAGCCATGAAATTAAAAGACGCTTACTCCTTGGAAGGAAAGTTGTGACCAACCTAGATAGCATATTAAAAAGCAGAGACATTACTTTGCCAACAAAGGTCCATCTAGTCAAGTCTATGTTTTTTCCAGTGGTCATGTATGGATGTGAGAATTGGATTGTGAAGAAAGCTGAGTGCAGAAGATTTATGCTTTTGAACTGTGGTGCTTTTGGAGAAGACTCTTGAGAGTCCCTTGGACTGCAAGGAGATCCAACCAGTCCTAAAGGAGATCAATCCTGGGTGTTCATTGGAAGGACTGATGCTGAAGCTGAAACTCCAATACTTTGGCCACCTCATGTGAAAAGCTGACTCATTGGAAAAGACCCTGATGCTGGGAGGGATTGGGGGCAGGAGGAGAAGGGGACAACAGAGGATGAGATGGCTGAATGGCATCACCGACTCAATGGACATGAGTTTGGGTAAACTCCAGGAGTTGGTGATGGACACGGAGGCCTGGCATGCTGCGATTCATGCAGTTGCAAAGAGTCGGACATGACTGAGCGACTGAACTGAACTGAAAACTAGAGAATACTCTGTCAATGTATATCTTCAGACAGCAGTCATCAACATAATTCATTCTAAATATATATAACATAGGAATTGATACTATATTCTCGGACATGTGAAATTATATGATGTCAGCTTCAGTCATTTGAAAATTATTTATGAAGAGATACATGAATGATACACACATTACAGATTATGTATTTATGAACATGCACCAATAAATACGTACATATATGTATGGGTGTACTCAGGTGCTCAGTCATGTCTGACCCTTTGTGACCTCATGGACTGTAGCCTACAAGGCTTCTCTGTCCATAGAACTTTTTCCAGCAAGAATACTGGAATGGGTTGTCATTTCCTCCTCTGGGGGATCTTTCTGACCCAGGGATTGAACTCACATCTCCTCTGTCTCCTTCATTAGCAAGCAGGTTCTTTACCATTGCACCATGTGGGAAGACCACATATATGTATATACAAATTATATATATAAATTATTGACATATGCAGTTAATACATAATCTAATATGTGACTATATGTACATAACTATATATATGATCTATGATCATTTATACAAAATATACAAATTTTTATGTTTTTGCATATATTAATAATATAATACAATACATTTAGCTATGGACTTTCCAGGTGGCTCAGTGGTAAAGGATCTGCCAGTGGAGGATATACAGGAGACACGGGTGTGTCTTTAGACTATACTACAAAGCTACAGTCATCAAGACAATATGGTACTGGCACAGAAATAGAAATATAGACCAATGAAATAAGATAGAAGGCCCAGAGATAAACCAAACACATATGGGCACCTTATCTTTGATAAAGGAGGCAAAAATATACAATGGGGCAAAGACAGTCTCTTCAATAAGTGCTGCTGGGAAAACTGGGCAGCTATGCATTAAGAATGAAATTAGAACACTTTTTAACACCCTACACAAAGCTAAACTCAAAATGGATTAAAGACCTAAATGTAAGGCCAGAAACTATCAAATTCTTATAGGAAAACATAGGCAAAACACTCTATGATATAAATCACAGCAAGATTTTCTATGACCCACCTCCTAGACTAATGGAAATAAAAGAAGAAATAAGCAAGTGGGACCTAGTTAAACTTGAAGGTTTTTGCACAGCAA